ATTGGAATATAGTTATTCATGGTAAATTTTTTTTTTTTACAATTTTTGTTTTTCTTTGGTATTGTTACTTCATTTCTGGTTGTGTTTATTTGTGTTCTCTCTCTCTCTCTCTTTGTTTCTTGATGATACTGGCTACAGGTTCATCAATCTTGTTTATTTTCAAAGAAACAGCTCTTTGTTTCATTGATCTTTTGTGGGGTTTTTTTGTTTGTTTTTTTAGTTTGTCATTTATTTGAGCTGTGATCTTTATTATTTCCTTCCTTCTATTTACTCTGTGTTTTTCCTTTTGTTCTTTGTCTAATTATTTAACTTGTATGGTTAGATAGTTTATTAGAAGTCCTTCTTGTTTTCTGAGGTATGCCTGTATAGCTGGGAACTTCCCTCTCATGGGTGACTTTGTGGCTCACCTGCCATCATGTCATCTGAGCTGTTGTGGAGGTGCTAACAGAACAGAACAAAATATAACACAACAAAAGAAGAAACCAAGCAAAAACATACAAAATACCCCTACAAAAATACCTAAAGCCACCCATTGAGAAGAGAAAATTAGGAAAGAGAGTCCTAATGGTAGAAGAAAATTAAAACTATGGAAAGAAAAAACAAACTAACTAACTAAAAGAAGCACCCCCCTCAAACAACAAAAAGGGGGAGAGGAATAACAAGGGGCAGAGGTGAAGTAAAGAAAATAAGAATGAAGAATAGGGGAAGAAAATGATTTAAAATTAAAGAGGATGAAAAAAATTGAAAAGGAAAATAAAGACTAAAGCAGATAGACCCAAAATAATAAGAGAAAAAAGATGAGAGAGCAGGATAAAACGGAAAATAAATATTGAGTAGGAAAAGGGAAGATAGGACAGATACAATAGAGACTAAAATAATAGCCAATCAATAAAACAGATAAGGAATATAAATAAAGGACAGAAAGAAAGGGAAGAGAATAAAAAAATGGTGAAGTGGCATTTGTCTTGGCCATGTTTAGTGCCTCCTTGGAGCTCCTATTGGACTCTGCTCTTCTGATGACTGTGGCTGAATCTTTTGTCTGCCAATTTTGGACTTCCTGGGAGGTACTTAGCTACCAACCATCGTCAGAATCTGTCCTCCTTTGGCTTTCAACAAACCTGCTTGAAGCTCCGAGAGATCCCAGTTTCTGTCTCCACAGCACTTGTCTACATGTGGGAGCAGTTAATCTGCCTTGTAAAGCAGGTTTGTTAGTGGCATGGGGCTTAGTGTTTGGTCAGTAAGCTTCCTACATTATCAGGGTTCCACCTCTACCCTCCTTTACCTGTCAGTCAGCTCTGAAAGCACTTTATGAAGAATTGGGAGTCTAGAACTCTGGGTCTCCCTTGAGGGGATGGTGCTGTTCAGATTTCAGGGAATGTGCTGGATGTTTTTCCATGTCCCAGAGTTACTCCTCTGGGAGTGACCAGAATATTGCTCTGCCTTCGTCATGACAGAGATCCTATATGTAATCCAGTAAGCTCAGCTGTAAACCTGGAGTTTCTATTAGCTCTCCTGTATGGGGGAAGCAACTATCAGGTTCACAGGAAAGTTGGGTGGATGGCCCTACCCTCAATCCAGTTACTGATGCTTCCTGATACTGTTCTAACACAAAGGTTTGGACTTTGTTGCCATCTGCAAAGGTCAAGATGCAGGGTATGGCAGGCAGGGTGCCTGAGCATTTAAGGTGTGGTTTTTTCTCTTCTTGAGGGCAGCTAGCTCCTCTCAGGAAAAAATGGCTGTTTCTATTTGGAGGTATGGCCAAATGCAGTTCTCCTGCTGCTGCTCTCCCATGTCTCCCCACAATGCTTCCAACCCCATCTTTTCCTCAGGCACCTTGAGTTCCTACCATTCTTTCTCCACCAATTCTCATGTGAGTAGCTGTAAATTGAGCTTGTCAAACTCAAAGGATAATACGGGCCAAATAAACAAGGTTTGAGTTTATGTGGGCCAGGAAAAAAAAAAAAAGGCTTAAATTTTCATAGAAATGTAGGTTTATTTTGATAGAGACATGCTGAATACAAGGGCTGAAATAAATGAGTAATTGTTAACATAAAATAATAGAACATTTTAATAAAAGTTAATATTTTTTCTTGAACATTAACTTACCAGACATTAAATAAGTGCACAAATTAATAAGTAACGCAAATAAACCTATTTTTCTTATTCTCCAAAAGTGAAATATTTCCTTTTGTGCACATCAAGCAAGTCAGTTCAAGACTAATGATGTGGCAATCACCTGCTAAAATATTCGCTGCTAGTATTAGTGGAGAGAAATGGTGTCCCTACGCGCAAGGTGTGTAAGGGAAGGGAAAACAACATGATTATAATAATAAGTTATTAGAGAACATTGTAGTTTGTTATTAATAATTATGTATAACAGGATATTATAAAAATTAAGTTATGAAATTTTTATTAAAATGTTTCTTACATGCCGTTATATTGGCTGGGCTGCAAAAATATTCATTGTGGGCCATGAGTTTGTATGCTTGCTGTAAATGAAACTCCTGTGTTCTAGGCTTTAAAAAAAGCCACAATTGAATGTGATCATGTGATATTTATCTTTCTCTGACTGACTTTTTTCACTTAGCATAATACTCTCCAGCTTCATCCATGATTTTGCAAATGATAGGAGTTCCTTCCTTTTAATAGCAGCATAGTATTCCATTGTGTAGCCCTTTGCACTCCGCTGTCCCCTCTCAGGGGACATCGGAATTCTAGCATATCATTCGGAGGTCCCCTCTCAGGGGAGATTGCAGTTTATTAGTGATTACGGGGAATTGAGTTTCCGCCACAAAATAGCGTCGAGTAGCTGGTAGCCAATGTCCAGAATGGTTCGGAGTGCAAAGGGGTAGATATGCCACAGTTTTTGAATCCACTCATCTGCTGATGGGCACTTAGGTTGTTTCCTAATCTTAGCCATTGTATATTGTGCTGCTATGAACATAGGGGTGCATCCAGAGTGGCCAGATTATTATGATCTCTGAATGCATAATAATCTGGCCACTCAGTGTATATCTATATAATAAAAGGCTAATATGCAAATTGTCCCCTCGACCAGGAGTTCAACGAGCAGGCATGCTGGCTAACTGCCCATGTCACCTCCCCCTGGCCAGGCTGGCCAGACCCCATCCATGCACGAATTTATGCACCGGAATATATATATATATTCAGTGGCCAGATTATTATGCATTCAGAGATCATAATAATCTGGCCACTTAGTGTATATCCTTTATGATTAGTGTTTCTAGTTTCTTGGTATATATTCCTAGAAGTGGGATCATTGGGTCAAATGGGTGAGGGGAAGGGACAGGAATCAACCAAAGGACTTGGATGCATGCATATAAGCATAACTAATGGACACAGACACCAGGGGGGTGAGGGCATGAATGGGAGTGGGGTCAGGTGGCAATGAGGGGATAAGGACACATATATAATACCTTAATCAATAAAGAAAAAAAAAAGCCAAAAATATGAGGTCAGCTGGTATAGCTAAGTGGTTGAGTGTAAACCTATGAATCAAAAGGTCATGGTTTGATTACTGGTCAGGGCATATCCCCAGTTGCAGGCTCGATCTCTAGTGTTGGGTATATAGGAGGCAGTTGACCATCGAATCTCTCTCATCATTGATGTTTCTCTCAATCTCTCTCTCTCTCTCTCTCTCTCTCTCTCCCTCCCTCCCTCCCTCCCTCCCTCCCTCCCTCCCTCCCTCCCTCCCTTCTTCTCTGAAGTAAAAAATATATAGAATTAAAAACAAAACAAACAATAAAACACAAACAAAATGTGGAGGCTTTCTCTCCTACCGGATTCCCTGAGGGCAGCAGTCACGGCTGGATGTGACATGGGCCACTGTTTCGGCTCTGGTTCTCTGGGCTATGGAGTCCAGCCTGGGTTCCGGGCCTCAATCTTCTGAGGGAACACACCCTCCAATAGCTCAGAACTCACTCCTCTCACTCGGTCTGTTGCCCATGGAAGCTGGGTCACCTTTTCTTATGACCTTATCCTTCCTATCAGCCTCCAGATGTTTTATGTCCTTCCTTGATATAACTCTCCTCCTCAGCTGGACCTCAGCTGGCAATTCCTGGTAAATGTTTCCCACTTTAGTGTTATTTCCTGTCTGGCTCTGGGAAGAGGTACAAGAAAGGTCTGTTTATTTGACGACCATTTTCTTTTCAAAGAACCAGCTCTTAGTTTTATTGATCTTTCATATATATATTTAGTTTCTACTTCATTTATTTCCATTGCAATGCATATAATTCCCTTTCTTCTACTCACCTTGGGATTTATTTGTTCCTTTTCTGGTTCCTTTAAGAGTGTAGTTAAATAGCTTATTTGAAATTATTTTTATATCTGGTGGTAGGCCTGTCATGTTGTGAATTTCCCTCTTACTACTGCTTTCACTGTGTCCCATAGATTTTGGGTTGTTGTGTTCCTATTTTTATTTGTTTCAAAGTATCTTTTGATTTCTTCCTTGATTTCATTGTTAACTCATTCATTGTTTAGTAATATGTCATTTAGCTTCCATGTCTTTGTGTGTTTTTCACTCTTTTTGTGATTGATTACCTGCTTCATACTGAGATGGTCAGAAGACTCTTAATATGATTTCAGTTTTTAAAATTTGAGACTTATTTTGTGGTCTCTCCTAGAAAGTGTTCTATATGTACTTGAAAATAATATATATTCTGCTGCTTTGGGGTGAAATGCTATGAAGATATCAGTTAAATCTATGTGATCTAGTATGTCATTTAAGGCCCCTGTTTTCTTGTTGAGTTTCTGTCTAGAAGAGCTTTCCATTGATGTCAATCAGGTTTTAAAACCCACTTCTATGACTCTATTACTATTGTTCTCCCACTTATATTCATCTAGATTTGCTTTATATATTTAGGTGCTCCTATATTGGTTGCATAAATGTTTATAAAGATTATAGAAAAGAAGGTATTTCCGATTAAATATATGGCTGAACCAGTGTACAAACTTCTGACCTTTTTTCTCTGCATTCCCAGGGTCGTTATGGCTGCTGTCGCTTTCTACGAGATGGATACAAAACCCCTAAAGAGGTAGGTTCCTTCTCTCCAAAATGATTCCAAGGCTATCTATAGTCTTATTCAGTATTCAGTATTCACTCATGGTACTTAAAATAATCACTAAATAGGATAATAATAAATGATAGTTGCTAATTTTGTTGGGTTTAGTAGCTAAGTTCTGTGTGTAAGCCTTTCTGCATTTGTTTATTTTTAAGTTGTATGCTTAAACCAGTGAATGAAAGTTTAGGCAGAAACAGAGTATTTGCATAGCCTCAAAGTATTTTCCCTCCTAAATCCTATATAATAAAAGCTAATATGCAAATAGACCAAACGGTGGAACGACCAGTTGCTATGATGCTCACTGACCACCAGGGGGCAGATGCTTAATGCAGTAACTGCCCCCAGCCCACACGCCCCAGGCCAGCCAAGGTGGGTGCTAGAAGGGGGTCCCCATTACCCCACTGGTTGCCCCACAGATAGGCCGATTGCTGGCCAGGCCTAGGAACCCTACCCATGCAAGAATTTCATGCATTGGGCCTCTGGTATTTAATAATGTTTTAGGAAAAAAATCTTTCCATCATTAGCTCTTCCTGGCTCCTTCTAGCTTTTGCTGTTGGTTAGTTGTAAACAGTTTTTGATCTTGAAAAATTAATTTCCATTTGTTACAGTTGTCAAAATTCTCCTTGGAAATATCAATGGAAAAAATTAAGTATTATTGAAGGCAATGAGTTATCAATAAGAAGCATTTTTATTGGCAATGTGTTTAAGGTTTAAATTTTCTGGTCGAGAGCCATTATAATAATTTTTTAAAATCATTGAGCTCAAACTCTTCTGGTTTACTTACTCTCTTTAACTTTATTCTTTAGCCTTGTTAACTTCCTCCTCTACCAATCTATGAAAATTATGCTCTCAAATATCATCATAATCTTCTAAATGACCCATCCAATTGCCTCTCCACAATCCTTATTCTGCTTGACTTCTTTGTAGGACATCACTGTTACTTATCTCTATGTTTTCTTGAAATTCTTTACTTATTTTAATATTCACAACACTACATTGTCCTAATTATTTTCTCTTTCTCTCCTTCACTCATGAAACTGAGAGGGTTTTACAGAGTCTGTTCTTGAGCCATTCCTTCATTATATATAGTTATTACATCTACAATTTGTGCTTCATTTGTCACTCATAATGGTGATTCCCAAACTTTCATCTCTTGCCATCTGCTAAATATTTCTGTCCACATTTTCTCCTGCTTTCTAAAACTTATAAAGTATAAAATAAAACTCAAGTTTATTACAGATTAATCTCATGTCTTCATACACCTGCCTATAATGTCATTATTATTTCTGTTCTAGTAGTTAGAAGTCATATAACAAAGTACTTGCTAAGGCAGAGAGGTATGTACATTTTCTGCCTTCTCTGAAACTATCAATAATGAAAGGCTATGTTATATACCCCTGGTCTAAATATGTATATTTGATCTTGGAGTGATAAGACAGACTGTGTTTATTATGCTTTTATCAGGATCCCAATCGCCTATACTATGAACCAGCTGAACTGAAGTTATTTGAAAATATAGAGTGTGAATGGCCATTGTTCTGGACATACTTTATCCTCGATGGGGTCTTCACTGGCAATGTTGAACAGGTAATGAACTGGGGAAAGAGCTTTTTAGCAAAATGTTCTTATTATGTCTTCCTTTCAGCTAACGGCTGTGCCAACCCTGTGCCCAAATGAAAATCTTCCTTAATAGGGAGAAGATAACATTGTCTCCTAGAGGCTAATAGTTGAGGGCACTAAGTTAGGACTTGGAAGATCTAGATATTGCCATATCTAATACTTTGCTTTTAACAAATATGCAAAGCAAAACAGCAAATTCTGTCTACTTGTCACAGTCATTAGAGGTATTACTGAAATTTACTTCCTGACTTTGTATGCTTTTTAAAAAATAAATCTTAGATATGATGTTCTCATGTTAGACCACCCCCCAAAAATAAAACCCCAACAATCCACTCATCCCTGTCCTCACCCCCAAAAACATGCTCATCATTGCCTTTTTGGCTACATGAATAAAGTAGTTTAGAAATCATCATTGAAAAACAGTGAGATTTAAGCATAACCAATGGATGCAGATACCAGGGGGTGAAGGCATGAACATGACTCGGGGAGTGGGGGGGCAATGAGGGGAAAAGGACACATATTTAATACCTTAATCAACAAAGAAAGAAAAACAGGAAAACAGTGAGATTTAGAATCTTAGTTAAGTAAATTTAATGTCAGGTATTCTAAAAATTGGCTATGGTCTAAAATTGGACATAAATCCAATGCGTTTAGAAGTCATTTATACTTTGCTACTTAAAATAAAATTTTGTGTAATTTTAATGATTTGGCTAATATTAATATATAATTACCAATATGAGTCTAAATAACAGGGTTTCACTAAAGTTACAGGGGCCACAAAGTTCTATTTTACTCTAAATTCTAATAATTTATAAAGTATCCATTGTTGAGCAAGCAAATAAGATAAGCTATAATAAAAATAACCTGCCTGTTTTGATCATCCTGATGTGATTCTAGCATTTTTCTCAGTCCTTCTCAAATTCTATGAAATTGTTTATTAAAAAACTTTTCTTGCTCAAAAGAGATTATTTATCAAATATGCCTACTAAGTATAAAGTACATTCAGGTTATTTGAACTTGGGAGGGGGGAGGAGTTGGAATACCTGGAATTTTTTTTGGCTTCACTATTGACCAGTGAGTAATCAAAGTGTAGTCATTGACTTCTTCAGTTTCTCTGTGCATATAATGAAAAGTTTTTTTCTCCATTAATTGAAGAAGATATCACTAAAATTGTTTAAATTTCACAGGTAAAGGCATGTTGTATATGCAAAGTAGAATCACTTAAGTTATAATGAGACATATATGTTTCTTTAAAATTACCTTGCTCGGCATATTTGAGAAATAAAAACTATAGGGCTTGTGGGAAAATAGGATTGGAGAACAATATTTAAAAAGTTGGTCAGAAAAACATATAAAATGAAAAGGCCCTAAAAAAATTATATTGTAGCTGTATGCAAGTCAAATGTTAAGAAATACAATAATATAATACTTGTACCTTGAAAAATACCTGAAATTTGCTTTTAGATATGTGCACTCACATTCCCACCAGCCCACCACCTTGTGTACCAGAGGAAGAGAGCAAAATACAGATATCAAAAGAAAATCAATCCAAGCCATTGTGCTCAATTAATATTTGACTAAGGAAACAAAGCATACAATGGAGTGAAGACAATCTCTTCAATAAAAGGTGTTGGGAAAATTGGACAGATATATGCAAAAAATGAAAATAGACCATCAACTTACATCATACACAAAAATAAATTCAAAATGGATAAAGGACTTAACTCTGAGACATGAAACAATAAAAATCTTAGAAGAAACCATAGGCAGCAAAATCTCAGACATCTCTCATAGCAATGTTCACTGATACATTTCCTAGGGCCATGGTCGGCAAACTGCAGCTCGTGAGCCACATGTGGCTCTTTGGCCCCTTGAGTGTTGCTCTTCCACAAAAAATACCACGGCCTGGGTGAGTCTATTTTGAAGAAGTGGCATTAGAAGAAGTTTAAGTTTAAAAAATTTGCTCTCAAAAGAAATTTCAATCGTTGTACTGTTGATATTTGGCTCTGTTGACTAATGAGTTTGCTGACCACTGCCCTAGGGCAATGGAAACTAAGGAGAAAATAAACAAATGCGGCTACATCAAAATAAAAAGCCTCTGCACAGCAAAAGAAACCATCAACAAAATAGCAAGAAAGCCCACTGATGGGAGAACATATTTGCCAATGATACATTTAATAAGGGTTTATTTTCCAAAATTTATAGAGAACTCACACAACTAAACAAAAGGAAGATAAACAATTCAATTAATAATGGGCAAAGGACCTAAATAGATACTTCTCCAAAGTGGACATACAGAAGTCCAAGAGGCATATGAAAAAATGCTTGAAGTCACTAATCATCAGAGAGATGCAAATCAAAATGACAGTGAGGTACCACTTCACACCTGTCAGAATGGCTACCATCAACAACTCAACAAACAAGTATTGGCAAGAATGCATAAAAAAGGAACCCTAATATACTACTGGTGGGAATGCAGACTGGTGCAGCCTCTGTTGAAATTCTGTATGGAGTTTACTAAAAAAATTAAAAATGGAACTCCTGTTTGACCCAGGGATCCCACTTCTAGGAATATATCCTAGGAAATCAGAAACACCAATCAGAAAGAATATATGCACCCCTATGGTCATAGCAGTGCAATTTACAGTAGCTAAGATTTGGAAACAGCCTAAGTGACCATCAGCAGATGAGTGGGTTAAAAAACTGGTACATCTATACAATGGAATACTATGCAGCTGTAAAAAAGAAAGAACTCTTACCATTTGCAAGAGCATGGATGGACCTGGAGAGCATTATTGTAAGTAAAATAAGCCCATCAGAGAAAGATAAGTATCACATGATTTTACTCATATGTGGAATCTAATGAACAACATAAACTGATGAACAAAAATAGATGAAGAGACATAGAAGCATCAAACAAGATTGTTGAACCTCAGAGGGATGGCAGTGGAGGGTGAGTTGGTGGGAAGAGATCAACCACTGAACTTGTATGCATATATGCATAACACATGGAAAAAGACAATAGGGTTGTAAAGGCCTGGAGCGGAAGGTTGGGGCAGGCTGGAGAGGTCAATGGGGGAAAAAAGGGACATATATAATACTTTCAACAATAAAGATCTTTTGAGAAAAGATAAAATGAACAAAGAACATATGCTGCGAATAAAGAGGGGGAATTAGAGAAGGAAAGGCACAGAGCCATTCAGCTAATGGCCATGAGAAAAGAGCACCTTGTTAGTGGTGGACAGGAAGTTATCTGAAATCTGACAGAAAGTTATAACCCTGCATGCAGATGGATATGGCTTATTGTCCTCCTATATAATCTTTCACGGCTCATTTTAGCTATATGTGTTCTCAGTTGAAATGGTGCATGAGCGTATGTGAAATTCATGTTATGCTCAAAATTTTCCCTAATATATCAAAGACATTGGAACAAATTTGTGTTTTCTAAACAACTGTTATAGCAGAACTAACTATATATTTTTTCACCATAAATTATAGTTTTTTTTTTACTTTTTATGTATTATTAATCTATAAAAAATTGTTCAACAAAAAACACATAAACTTGGCCATAAAATAAACTTAATTTGCAGGCAAAATATAGTTTTAAAAGCCAGTACATGTAATGTGACAAACCTATCCTTAGGGTAGTACATAGTGGATAAAAATAGGCCTGTGGAGGCAGGTTGACTTGGACTCAAATCTGGATTCAACCTTGCACTCTTGTGTGATCTTCCATAAGTTCATAACCTGCTAAAGCCTTAGTTTCCCTATAAAAAGTTTATGGTTATACATACTTCCTAGGATGGTTATTAAAATTAAATGTGTTAAAGTATGCAAAACACCTAATATAGTATCTTGCCTATAATAAGCATGTAGTAGATGTTACTTCCTCCTCTTCTTCCTTTTACTAGGTAAATATGTTCTTTTTAAATAGGATTTTCTTTGGCAACAGTTTCCTCTGGGTCCCCAAAGGGACCTTTCTATAATTTTTTTTCTCCCTTTCTTATACCCATAGGTTCAAGAATATAGAGAGGCTCTTGAAGAAGTCCTCATCAAGGGCAAAAATGGAGTCCCACTTCTGCCCGAGCTATACAGTGTTCCCCTTGACAAGGTGAGCTAGACAGTGCCATAGCATGGGGCTGGGAGAAGAGGAGGAGTACTTCGATAGGTCTGCCCTGTTTGAGTCAAATAATTGTTACTTTCTTATGATTTTCATGTTCTAAAATTTTGTCTTTCAGTATAAGACAATAAAATTATAATTTTGTTCCCTTGAAAGATTTTAAAGCACTCACAGTTATGACAGTGTTGCACAGCAAGACAAGGGTAAGACCTAACTTAACAGTGGTAGTTTCAAGGGTATATACTTACCCTCAAAATTACCAAGATGCATTAAAAATGTATAGCATTTTTGTATGTCAACCATAACTCAATTTAAAAAATCAAATAAATTGTTTAGAGTTTGATTAAAAAAAACAACAACAAAAAACCTTAAGGCTGAGAATGATATGGACATCAGTAGTCAGAACCAGAGTGTTGTTCTCTGTGAACTCTCAGGATTTGATATGTTTTTTCTCTGAGACCACTAATTTGGGATTATTTGAGTAGATCAATCTTTGAAAATGAAGTAGGTCTCCATTTTCCCAAAATTCCAGTCAGAAATATTACTGTTCTTCTCTATTGCGAAAGAGTATTAACCATGGGAGAGATGCAGTTGTTGGTTCTAGTAGGGATGGGTGGAATAAGCTCCCAGCAACATCAACAGCATTACTTGAGATCTTGTTAGAAATGCAGGTTTCAGGCCTTCCTCCACACCTACTCAAGTCAGAATCTGTCTTTGTACACAATCCTCAGGTAATCTGTATCCACCCTACAGTTAGAGGAACACTGCTTGACTTTTCAGTGCATTGCAAATGTGACTGTTTCATAGGGTGTAAATCACAATACAAACTCAGCCTTTTTGCTGTCTAGTATTTAAAACCTTCTATTATCCTTCTTGTAGCCTTTAAATCTTTTTTTTTTAGGTTGATGAAGAATATCAAAATCCTCACACTGTGGACCGAGTCCCCATGGGAAAATTGCCTCATATGTGGGGTCAGTCTCTATACATTTTAGGAACTTTGATGGCAGAGGTAAGGAGAAACTTTACGGCTCCTTTTTTTACTTTAGTCACCATAGTAATCAGATTTGTAAATAGCTCATTAAATCTTTTGCTTTTTGTATTCTGCCTTAATTATATATTTTCCTCCAGATTATTAGAGTGGAACTGTGACCAGTCCTTGACAAAAATCTTCCCCCTGAAAACCTTGTCCCTCATGCCCCCAGAGCTTCCTACCTTGGCACTGTACCTATAGCTGCTCTGGAATAGGCCCTACCTTGATCTTTCCCTCTCAGAACACCCCTGAGTGTCTTGCCTGGTGACTGACGAATGCAGTCGTGCTTATACAGCATGACTTATAATGGATTTAAGAGCTAACTTTTCTGAACAACATCATTCTTTAATTGAATAAACTGATGAGAAAATTTAGGTAACATGACAACTGGTTATGAACACCATAGTTTATATTGATTTGTTTGTTTTTTGGAAAGGGGCTCTTTAAATGTTTCATATATTAAATTTTGTCGAGACAGCTTCTAATGGGGCACTCGGAAATTTCTGTCAGCTTATTTATGATATTTTGAGTATATAGGAAGGGTTATCTTTCTCACAGTTTTTTAGATTTACCGACAAATATATTTCCACATTGTAGGTTATTATGGTGAGCTATAACCTAGGCTCCTAGAGGATAAAGGGTGGATTAAGATATCTTTTCTGAGCCATACTCTATGAACTGCTTACATATGACTATTGATTTTCTGCATCTATTTTTGTTGTTTTGTTTTCCTCAATTCTATTGAGATATGATTGACATACATCACTAAGAGTTTCAGGTCGATAGTTGTTGGTGCTAATTTAATACCAGTAGAAATTCCCAATTTGGGGTATGGTGAAGAAGGAAACTTTACTTAGTGCAAACATCTCCATTGTGATACAGCACAGCTTTGAGAATAGTATGGCTGTGGAATAGCTCAATGGTGTTACAGCTCAATTATGGAGTAGTACAGATGTGAAACTGCAGGGTTGTGAGGAGGCCCTTGAGTGAGGCCCTTGAGTGAGGCCCTTGAGTGAGCCCCTCTCCCTTCAAGACAGCTCATCTCTACTCTGTCTGCTCTCCTCCTCTATACACTAGTCTGCTTTGCTCTTCTCTGCTCTCCTTTTCTTACTCTTCTCTGCTCTGGTCCCCTGAGATGTCTTCAGTGTTTATCTTGAGTGTTTCAGCTCCATCCATGAAACATGGTCTCAGTCTTCCTTGGAACTGGAATGTGAACTCTCCTAGACAGAGGGGAGTGAGTTACATTGAGAGAAGTCCCACTCATGGCCCCTGATTGGTCTGTCCTCATGCAAATGAGGATACCAAATCCTCAGTTTGATTGGTCCAAAGGCACTATCCTGATTGGTCAGAATGGACCCACTCCGATTGGTCAGTGAAGATACTGATGGAGATATAGTTGTGCAGCTCTGATTGGATGGGGAAAGCCTTAGTCCTATTGCTTGAAATACAGCTCCAGAAACTCTTTTCTAAGGACTAGCACAGATGCAGGCACATGATGCAGAAAGGCAATTCAGTGGAGGCTTTTCTTTGAAGTGTGAGAGGCCACTGTTTAGAAACAGCTGTTAGGCTCTTCTTTTAAGGTTGAGCCCAGGTAGCCACCAGGAGCCCTTCTTGATAGGTATCTTCTTTCTCAGGGTTCACAAGCATAAAGGTTTGATTATCTGTCATTGACATTATCTATATATATATGAAAGTCCAAGTGACTGATATGACTGAATGACTGGAATGACCAGTCACTATGATGCGTGCTGACCATCAGGGCGCAGATGCTCAATGCAGGAGCTGCTCCCTCGTGATCAGTGCGATCCCACAGCCAACCTCCCCTGGCTGGCCAACCTCCTATAGTCCTGGTTAGCAGGCCCTGATCGGGCTGGGCCCCAGGCTGGGACAGGGAATTGGGAGTGGGTGGCAGCAGATGTGGCCCCTTTCCCAGGGGGGCTGTGGCAAACCTCCTGCAGCCCTCCCCGTATTCCTCCCCTAGTGGGCAGGCCCTGTCCCTCCCCCACCCAGCAGGCACTGGTGGCAATGAGGGACAGAGGTGGGGGGGGCAGGGAACTGCACAGTGGCGGGGTGCTGAGGGCAGCATTGGCATCTGGTGCCCGTTCCTTCCCTGCCTGGCCCAGTGACCATTGTTTTCTCTCCCAACCCTGCCAGGGGCCATTGAGCCCTGGGCTGGGATAGGAAACTAAGGGTCAGTGGAGGCAGATCTGGCCCCATTCCCAGGGGGGATAAGGGCCAGCTCCCTTCTTGGGGCTGGTGGCCAACCTCCTGTGGTCCCTCCCCCTGGGTGGCAAATCTCCCATGGTCCCTCCCCCTGTTCCTCCCCGGGCCAGCAGACCCTGTCCCTCCCCATAGCTGGTAGGCCCTAGTGGCAGTATGGCAGCAAGGGAAAGATGAGAGGGGGAGGCAGGGAACCGTGTGGTGGTGGGGCGCTAAGGGCAATATCAGCGTCAGTCATCCATTTCTTCCGTGCCTGGCCTGGCAACTGTCACCTCCTTTCCCAACCCCACCAGGGTCTTCTGGTTCTGATTGGCTTGGCCCTGATCGCAGACCAGGCCTAGGGACCCCACCCATGAACGAATTTCATGCACCGGGCATCTATTATAGTATAACAATAATGGGCAGCATGATTGATTTAAAATAATCCTTCCCTGGTAATTTTCTCATTCAAGTCAAATACATTAAATGGTATGAAAAAAGGACGTGAATGGTTCTCTTAAGGGCAAAACAAGTGACTTAGTCACATTTCATGAAGTCAGGTTTTGAGGGCAGGAACTGTGTTGAAGGCCAGGAGGTGGATGTGGCCTCCCTTGAACTGGAACTATTAAAAATGAGGACCTGAGGAGACTGAAGAGGCTGCAGATTATGGGTGAAACAGGAGTGCCTGGGACTGAAAGAGGCGGCCCTGAGAACATTGGCCATGGAAACTGAAGAGTGGTGCAGTAGTGGAGCTGAAGTCCCTTGATAGAGTAGTGTTAGCACCCTGCCATAACGCAGCCTGGGAAGCTCCTCCTGATCAGTGGGAAGGACCTTGCAGTGGAACTCAGGGCCGGCCTACATTGGAGTAGTCTGAAGGACACACACAACATTGAATCTGGGGTACTTTATATTTCTTGGAGAAACTCTTGTTGGTGAGCAGAAAAGGAGCTTGAAAATAGTCCAGGAAGTAGAATCAGCCCTGCCCACCTGGAATGCAGAGGAGGTGCCCTCTTTCCCACCAGCAAAGGAGCTGCTTCTTACTAAACTTGCAGCGACCTGAGACAAGGGGAAATAGCCTAGGGCAGGAAATCTGTGCCCCTGCAGGTGGCAAAGAGAAGGTGGCAACTAACCAGGCAGAGCAGAGGTATTAGAAGGACAGAAAGGGCACAGTCCCACCTCCTACAAGCTACTGGCACTACCGACAACATGAGTCTAGTCAAACCATCCTAGCCAAGACCAGGATATCCATGCAGAGCCCAACTCCAAGTGGGAAGAGAGAATAGCTCAAGGCATGAGACTTGAGGCAGACTCAGTCTCTGGACTAAGGAGTCCTCACCCACTGGACAACTAGGGGCTTTCACCTATTGGGCCTCTATCAAATTACCCAAGGCCAGAAAGGGGCAGTGACTCACATTGACCTGGCCAGAAATCTCCAAGAATGCCCAGGATAGACACACAAAATGACCAGATTCAACAACATCAGAGCAAAATCCAGTGAACTCCACAAATAGCAGACTCAAAGGTTTTTGAGTGTGAGTGTGTGTGGTTTTGTTGTGTGTGTGTGTGGCTTTTTTGTTTTTCCCCTTTTTTCTTTTTTCTCTCATATCTCTAATTTATTTTCCCTTTGATTCTATTCTCCTTGTATCACTTTTCATTATTAATTTTTCTCATTTCTATTTTTTTCATTTTACTTTATCTATGTATAGCTTAATATATTATTTATTACTACATTTTAAGTTCATTATTATTATTTCATTTTTTGTTTCCTTTTCTTTTTTCTTTCTATACTAGTTCTTTTAGCTTCCTCCTTGCTTTTCTAATAGCCATTTTTCTTCCTCTTTCTCCCTTTCTTTATATACCATCGAAGTCTTTGATTGCATGTCTTTTAGTATTCTCTTTATTTTTTTTCTTTGCTTTCTCTTCTTTTTACTTCTTAGACTTTCTTGTTGTTGTTGCTTTGTGTGGCTTGATTTTAGTTTTGGTTTGGTCCTGCTGTGTCTTGTTCTATTTTGTCAACACCTGTATAATAGCTAGCACGATGAGATTAGGATTCAGCCTCACTTTCAGCAAGTCAGAAAGGATAACCCTCTCATGAATGGAGCATCAACAATCAAGACCTAATTAAAATAGAAAGAGCCCAAATAATGCACACAAGGGGAGACCCCTCAAGACACTTTCTACATAGGGCCATCCAACAAAGCCTGGGAGGCATAACAGTTCTATATAATACATAGAAACAAATACAAATAGACAGCTAAAATGGTGATACAAAGAACCCCCAAATGAAAGAAAAGAGGAATCTCCAGAAAAAGAACTAAATGAAACGGGCACAAGCAACCTATCAGACATAGAGATCAAAGTAATAGTTGTAAAGATGCTTATGGAGCTGAGTGCACATTACAAGGAACTCTGTGGGAACTATAACAGCATGAGGAAGCAAACACAAATCATGAACCTGAACCAGACAGAAATGAAAAATAACATATCTGACATCAAGGACACACTGGAAATAATTAAAAGTAGAATGAATGAAGCAGAGGATTGAATCAGTGATTTGGAAGACAAGGTACAATAGAAATAAATACCCAATTAGAGCAACAAATAGAAAAAGAATGAAAAAGCAGGAAGATAGCTTAAGGGAGCTCAGGATCAACATGAAACATAACAATATCCATATTATAGGAATACCAGAAGGGAAAGAAGGTGAGCAAGGAACAGAGAACTTATTTGAAGAAATAACAAAAGAACATTTGACCAACCTTGTGAAATAAATTACCTAC